ATTAATTTTTCTATTATAATTAAGTTTATTTTTTAATTATTTTTAAAGTTTATTTTAAAAATTAATAGAATTATATAAAAAAATTTTAATCACATATTTTATTATTTAATCTAACAAATATTTTAATATGCATAAATATTAATAAAATAACATATATAAAAATTCAAAAAATTCAAAAAAAGATTTTTTTTAACCTTTTCCTATTCAGTTGGACCGATCAAAGGCTGATGAAGGAAACGGGTTTCGGGTCAAGTACACAGACCTCGGGTCAAGTCACGGGTTGACGCGTAGATCTTGGGTGCTTAAAATAATATCGTTTTGAGCTTTTATTGAAACGATGTCATTTTGGTTTTGGCAGGTTATATAAAAGGTGTTAAATTTTTTTTGGTTATTCTCCCTTTTCCTCAGAAAAACGCCTTTTTTTTTTTTTCAGGCCGACCTGGGGTCGATGGTATCCGTCGCAATAGTTGCCGTGATCCTCACTGGCTATGAGCTCCGACCACCGTCGTTGGTGTCGAAAAATTTCAAAAAACACCTACAAACTCTTCTCGACCTCTTGAACACATATTCAACCTTTTTTCCACCAAAAAGAATCTCTAATTCCCTAGATTTACTCTTGAAGTTACGGTGAAACGATTTTTTTTGGGTATTCTAGCTTTTTTATTTTTTGTTGAAACTGACTTTGTTTGTTTTTTCTTTGTGCAGGGGCTTTCGGCGCTGGGTTCCTTCCTGCGGAGAGGACTGAGTTTTTTTTTTTGTTTTTTTTGGTAGAATCTCTTCTCTTCTATTTTTTTTCCTCCCTTTCCAAGGGTTTGGCTAAGAGCTCTATTTATAGAGCTCCGACCTGCGTGGCATAGGGTTCGGCATGGGGTGCAAGCACGAGCCCCATGCCCTTTTTATTATTTTTGTCTGATTCGACAATGGTAGGAGCTTAGGTGAAGGTAGTGGTATAGGTGATAGGGTATGGTGATCAGAGGGATGGGTGGTAGGGCATAGTGGCAGTGGTGTCGGGGAAGGCACCACTGCCATCCTCCCTTTTTTTATTCTATTTTGTTTTTTTTTTTTGGTATCTTGTATTTTGATTTTTTTTTGTATTTTGTATTTAATAATAATTTTTTTTTGTCAGACAAATTTGATGTCCATAAATATCATGTAATAAATATAAAATCATACCATATAATAAATCATGCAATAAATATAAAATCATGGCATACAATAAATCAGATAAAAATTATCATGCAATAAATATAATATCATACAAAAAATCATGTCAAGATATCATGCAATGAAAAATAAAATCATGCCAAAATCCCACCAAAATATTCATTTAAAAGTATAATACAATAATATAAAATATCATGTAATAATATAAAATATCATATAAAATATTAATTACCATATAAATATAATATTAATCATACAAATATAATATAATCATGCATATATAATATAATCATGTAAATATAATATAAATTATTATGCAATAATATTAAAATATTATGCAATAATATTAAAATATCATGCAATTATCATACAAAAATAACGTCAAGCAATATTATAAAATATTATGCAAATATCACCATCATACGAATATATTAATAAGTCACACAAATAAATATAATCATACAAATAATAAGTAATCATATAAATAATAATCATGCAAATAAATATATAATCATGCAAACTAAGTGAATTCATGCAAATAAATTATAAAATATTACTAATTTTCAATTTTCTTTTTTCTCATCATAGTTAAATAACAATTAAATAACAAATAACATAAAAAATAAAACAGTAATAAAAAATATAAAATCGAATATAAAATAAAAATGAGAAATAAAAAGAAAAAGAAAAAGGAAAGCTAAAAATTGCAATTGGGTCTGATTCCAATTAAGTCAACACGCAGATCCTATGCGGGTTAATGTGCAAATCCTAGGGAACATAAACAACATCATATGGTTTGGGTGCAAAGGCCAATAAACCTTTGTCTTTCTCAAAATTGCCTTAGTCTTTCTCTATATAGGATCAAATTTCTCTACTTCTATCTAGGATTCCATCGCGAAACTCAATAGCTGGCCAAAATCCAAATTTCGATGTCAAAAAATTCAAAAAGGCGTTGGAAACTTAAAACCAAACCTTGAAACCACCATGAATTTTAGAATCTGACCACTGTGAGTTTTTCCTGCTGTTGTACAATTAATTGAAAAATTCAAAATTTGTAAAAAAATTCAAACAATTTTTAAAAAAACCCAACAATTCAAACAAAATCCTAAAATTTTCAAAAATTAAATCAAAACACTAGAATTGAGAATCAACTTCAACAATCAAACCCATCAAATCCAAATTCAAAATAATTCCCTAACGAGCTAAAAATTGAACTAAATTTCAAAAAAGTCATAACAAGCCCAAAATTCCCAAAACAATCCAAACTTAGAAAATTTTAACTTGAATTTCGAAAAAGAATTAGAATCTAAAATCAATCAAAACCAAAAAAATAAAATTCCAAACAAATCCTCAAAAATCCCAAACTCAAAATGATTCCCAAAAACAACTGAAAAATCAACCTAGAACTAGAAACCCAAAAAAAAAAAAAAAAAAATTCAACACTTTTAATTACTTTCAATTGCTATTGTATATTGTTTTCTATGCATGCTTGGTTACCCCCTCTTTGTTTTGTCGATTGCTTCTTTCATAGGGATAAATCCTACTTCAATTTGGACCAATTTTAATGCTTATCAGATCTTTTGTGATTTTCCCTTTTCATGAAGATTGGAATCTAAGAATTTTCTTAGGCAATTGAATCCTTGATTTCCAGAGTCAAAACAAGATTTAAGACCAAATCTAAAGCCTTTCTTCTATAAGAAAATCCTTTTTTTTTCTTTTACTTTTTTTTACTTTTTGACTTTGACTAAAGAAAAATCAAAATTCAAATTCAAATTGAAATTGAAATTACAATTAAAATTAAAATCAAAATAAAAAATTTTGGGCTTTTATCCCATTAGGCCCAAAACTTTCTAATCGGGTCCCAATTTACAATCAAAGGCCCATTTTAATTTTGCAAAAATTTTTTGAATAAAATAGGGTGCCTACAGTTTCCCTTTTTTATGCATTTTTTTTTTTATAAAACAAGAATTATACAAAGATTAAAAAACATCCATGTTGTTTGGGTTAAGAGAAATAAAAAATTCACAAAAAGCTCTTAATTTGAAATCCAAAGGTTCACAATTTGAAAATTAAAGGGTTTGTCATTAAATTCAATGGTTCACAAAATTTCAAAATTTTGCAAGGATCCAAAGCAAGAATTGAAAGAGTCCAAAATTCATAAAATATTCAAAAGTCATAAAAAAACTCAAGAATTCATAAAATAATCAAGATTTGCAATGATTCATATATTAAAAAATTCACTAAATGATTCAAGTTTAGCAAAAATTCAAAATTCCCAAAGATTCAAGTTTCATAAAAGGTCAAGATTATCAAAGATTTCAAGATTTGTAAAGATTTTCATATTTGCAAAAGTCCTTAGATTTGCAAAGATTTCGAGATTCACAAAGGTTTCAAGATTCGCAAAGGTTCTAAGATTAGCAAAAGTTCCAAGATTCGTAAAGGCTCCCAAAATTCATAAAGATCCCAAGTTTTACAAAGATTTCAAGATCACAAAGGTTTTCAGATCACAAAGTTCAAGATTCACAAAAGTTCCAAAATTCACAAAGATTCGAAGATTCACAAATATCCCAAGATTTGCAAAAAGTCCAAGATTCATATAGATTCTAAGATTCACAAAAATTACAAGATTTGCAATGACTTTAAGATTTGCAAAAATCCCAAGATTCACAAAGATCCCAAGATTCGTAAAAATTTAATATTAGCAAAGTTTTTAGATTTGTAAAGATTTTAAGATTTACAAAGATCTTAAGATTCACAAAGATTTCAAGATATCATAATGTATAAATCCGTGAACCTATTGCTAGATATATATTCAATGAGTCCTCACTAATTTTTTTTATCTAGGTATAGTTGGCTACCTAACTAAATTTGTTCTATTTTAAAGATGAGTCACACGCTTGACTTAGATATATTTAAATGGTAAATTCTCAAATTTATGTTTGAGAGTGTGATTATGTGTGAAAAAGGTTATAGCACTCTTATAGTGCTAACCTAAAGGTTTGTATTATTTTGATTTCAAGTTATCGAAGCCTTAAAATATTTTTATAATTTACTAAATAATTAAAATATTAAAAATTAATTTTGAAATTACTCCAATAGTTTGGTAGTAATTTAAAATAATTTTCTTACCTCATGAGTATTCTTGAATATTAATATCCTATTCTAAAGAGGCTCCATTGTTGGATTCATTAATGTATTTTCTAAGAAATTATTTTTTTAAACAATAAATAGAATCCTCCAATCATTTAGTAGAATTTTATATCGGTGCATATCCCCTAATAGTTTGGCAAGATTTTTTTTTCTAAAAATATTTTTATAAAAGTTTAAAAAAAATCATTAAATCTTTTAATAATTTAGTAAGATTTAACTTAAAGATTTAAATCCTTCAATTGTTTGGTAAGATTGAAATTTAGTTTTTGAAAATTCATAAGTCCTCCAATTATTTAGTAACACTTAATTCGAGATTTAAATATTTCAATGTAAGATAGAAAATTTTATTTTTTAATTAAATAAGATCTTTCAATAGTTTGGTAGGATTCATAATAAAAAATAATTTTTAAAAAAATCCACAAAAATCTTCTGATAGTTTGATAGGACATCATAGCTTAATTTTTTTAAAAAAATTATTATTATTTTTATATATTTAAAACATCTATAATTAAAATAACCAATAAACAATAACATAGGATAAATATAAATAGAAAACAAAAAATTTATACCAATTCTTGGATCCAGTCCAAATTGAAGTCCAAAAGATTGAGCTTGAATAGCCCAAACTGAATCTTGATCTATGCTCGAAAAAAAATATATGAATTGGGCTCAGGACTAGGCTTGGGCTTTGCAAAAGAAAGCTGGAGCAGGCTGTTGCAACTGGGCCGGATCGGGTAGGATCTTCAAATGGGCTGATGCTTGGGTCTCTGAACGGGCTGAGAGGATCCAGTTCCTTAATGTCCAAAACTACACCGTTTTTACCTTCTATATAATCCAATATCAGACTCCTCTTTTTTTGTTTTCTCATTTTCTGCTTCCCTCTCTAATCTTTTTTTTTCTCTCACTTTTCTCTAATAAGTTTTCCCAAAAATAAAGAAAAACCCAAGGACACCGGCCAATCTTCAAACTGTCCCAAGAAACTGACGATGCTTCTCCGCTGCCGCCGTCGCACGCCATTACCAAAGACCATAATTATTCCAAATGTTGCCCCAAGGCTCGTCTCAGTCTCTTTGTCTCGGATCTAGGCTCGGATTCTTCAAAAAAACTCACTGGATTCGCGTGGATCTACCTTGGAAGGAAGCGAATTCAAACTCAAGAATCTCCTTCTTTGCTGTGCCAATCACCACCATTTCAAGGTATGTTCTTCCCCTTTGTTCTTGGCTCTTTCTTCACTAGATTTGGAGACCCAAAATCCCCTAGAGGATGACCAAACTGAATCCCAAAAAAAAAAAATTGTTTCTTTTTATTTGGTTGCCTAATGGTTTCTGACTTTGCTTCTTTTTTTTGACTTGTATTGGTAAGGCTTACTGATAGCGAACAATTGATATTGGTGGTGAAAAAGGTGTAGTACCTAGATGTTGAAGGTGTGGCAGAATCGGTTTGAAGGCTGCTTAATCGGTCTTGGCTACTGTAATAAATAATGGTGAACGTTTTCTTGAGTTTTTCTATGTTTTAGGATCTAATTGTGAATTGTTGATTGAAGCTTGTTGAAACTTGGAGTTTTGCATTTTGGAAATTGGTTTGCAGGGAATTGGGACTGAATGGAGTCGACAGGGAAGGCTTTCGATGGGTAGTTTGCAAGTTTTTTTTTTTTTTTGGAATTTTTCACAGTGGTGTCTAGTGGTTGAAAGTTTTAAGTTAGAGGTAATGGGTAATGATGGTGGAGATTGGTAAAAGGAATTTGCTGGGATTAGCCGATCAGTGGATGATCTTTGCTCGATTTTTTTTTTTCTGTTTTTGTTCTTGCCTACTGGTTGTGCATGCTTGTTTTCTCCTCCCGCTCTTTGTTTTGCCGATTGTTTCTTTTATAAGAATAAATCCCATTTCAATTTGGACCAATTTTACTACTCATCAGATCTTTTGTGATTTTCCCATTTTCATGAAGATTGGGATCAAAGAAATTCCAAAATTATTAAATTATTAAGTTTCAAAATCAATCTGAATCCCAAACAATCTGCCAATTCACATGTTTTTCTTTTCGGTTTCTTGGCTCCCTTTTTTGTTGACTTTGATAGATTTGACCAAAACAAATTAAAATAAAATAAAGTAAAATAAAATTAAGTAAAATAAAATAAAACTAAAAATTAAAATTAAAATCGGTTAAGACCGAAATCAAAATCCAAAAAATTTTTGTTTAAGCTTTTAATCATTAGGTCTATAATTTAAGGCTAATGGCAATCAAAAGCCCATTTCAATTCTAAAATTTTTTTCGGACAATTGTGGTGTCACCAAGCCAAATCCAATTCTGCCATAGAGTAAATAGAATGTCTACATTGAATAATTTTTGTACCACGGGAATTATGCAAAAATATAAATATTTATTATCCAACTCAAATTAATCAACATTTTATCTTTTTTATAAATCTTTTTTTTGTTTTGATTTTTTCTTTTTGAAAAATTACTTAAAAATAAAGGCACACCTTTATAAAAAATAAAATACTCATTCAATAAGAAGGCGCACAACTTTAAAAATTAGAGATGACACCAAAAGATTATGACGATTATGCTTAAAAATTTTGTAGATCTCATTCGAAGAATTAGGAGATTAAGCTTGAAGGTCTTACAAATCATTCTTAACATTGAAAAATACCTTTTTAAAACAAAAGCTCCATAACTTTAATAAAAAGGGTACCTAAAAGTTTTAAAAGATCATACCCGAAGATCTTATATATTGAAGGACTTAGAGATTATGCTCGGAGGTCTTACAAATTTTAACTTTAAAATATATTCGACTTAAAAGAGTTATAAATCTTACCTAGAAGACTTGGAGATTATGCTCGAAGGTTTTATAAATATCGATAGATTTAACTCGAAAGACTTATAAATCTTACCTGTAGGACTTGGAGATTACATTCGGAGGTCTTACAAATCTCAACTTTAAAATAGATTTAGTTCAAAAGACTTACGAATCTTACTTGGAAGACTTGGAGATTATACTGGGAGGTTTTACAAATCTCAATAGATTTAGCTTAGAAGACTTACGAATCTTACTTGGAAGACTTAGAGATTACGTTCAGAGGTCTTACATATCTCAATAGATTTAGCTCCGAAGATTTAAGAATCTTGCTTGGAAGACTTGGTGATTATGCTTGGAGGTTTTACAAATCAAATTCTGAAAAAGGTCTCTTAAAAAAAGGCTCAACCATTTAAAAAAATATACCTAAAGGTTTTAAATATCATACTTAGAGCTCTTATAGATAAATTATCATTCGAAAGCTTAAATGATGTACTCAAAAGTTTTAAAAAGTATTACCCAAAGGTTTTTCAAAACTAATACCCAAAAGTTTTAATAAATATACCTTGAAGTAAAATCTTGTTCAATCTTTATATCAAAATTTTCTTTTTTCATCAAAACTTTAAACCTACATCTTTTTCTTTTGTCCATCAAAGAAAATGTAGAATGCAACACAAGAAATGAATGTGATGTATTTAATGCATGAAATGCATGCAATGAATGCAATGCATGCAATGTATACCATATGTTATTAATTGGTAATATGATTCTCAAAACTTTTTCTTCCTTCTATCTTTTCATGACATAGTCTCTGGATTAGTTGACAAGTTCTTTCACGAAATAAGCAAACATTCTTAAAACATTTTCATACTTGAAAACCATTCTTCTCATATATTGAGTCTGTTCCATTAATGGTCCCTTGCATTTGGCATTCCTCTTGCCTTAGAAAAGTCTCATTTATCATAGTATTCACTTATTTTCCCACAATGAGCATTGAGATTCAAGAATACTTTTTGAGCCTTTCTTAAAATTTTCAAAATCAATAATGGAAATTGCCTTACACAAATATCTTCCTAAAAATTACTCAATTTTGCACATGTGATCACATCTCTTAAAATTTGTAATTACTACCTTGAATGAATGTGATGAATCATAACTTGGTTTGTCCAAAAAGATGCAATGTTTTGGCATATCATGAAGGATCTTATTTACCAAAAGAATTTAGCCACTGAATGAGAACAAGAACATCTTTTCATTTGGGCCCACAAATGAAAATCTTCTTTTAAAGTGTAATCTATCTTGGCACTCCTTTCAATTATTGATATGCGGTATTTTAATAAATATCAAGACCAATTATGCCAAGTTCAAAATTTCAAGTTTTAAAGAGAAACAAAACCTAAATTTTAAAATGAATCTTTATAGTGAGATTGATTTCCTTGGACTTTTAAACAAAAGTCTCTAACATCCCTTAGTTTATTCAAAATTCCTTTTTAGTGCTAGATGAAAATTCATTAGTTGCTTTCAGAGCTTTAATCTTGCTTTAGATTGCTTTTTCGAGTTTTCACCCAATAGTTTCATTCTTTTATTTTCTTTTTCTCTATTTTTTGGGATAATTCCATCATGAGTTTGAGCATTTGAAATTCATCTAAAACCAAATCATAATGATTTCCTAAGGAACAAGCTTCTAACTTAGGTATCCGTACATGATCAAAATGGACTTTTTGAAGGACATAACATAGGTCAAGTTTTAAGGTTTTGAAAGATAGAATAAATAGGCCCAAAGATGTATTTACAGGTGATCAAACCAAGGATTATTTCTTTTCTAGAGATATCTTCCTTTTCTCAAAACATGTCTTTCCACCTTTTTCTTTTCTTTGTTTTTTCTTTTTTTGCATGAGTTCAAAAATTTTTGAACTCATCTTATTTCAAGCTTGCCCCTTAACATAAGGCATTATTTTTTAACCCTCAGCACAAGATCACATGCCATCTTGATGAGATCCTTTTTTTTTTTTTTTAACATGCCCCTAAATTTGAAGGATAATCATTGGTTAGGGTTTATTCAGAAGGAATAATCAACAAGCTCAAAAGGGGTAGCAAATGAAAATTTTCTTCTTTCATAAAAGGAATTTGAAAGATGACTATATTTCATTTCAAATATGGATACTTCTTATTAAAAAGCAATTCTCAAGAGATAATTGTTATCTGTTTGATTTTAGATTCATTTAAATGCCTCGCATGCATGATTTCACAATTAACTCTTTTTTTTTTTTTGCAACTCATACTCATAATGCATTTTCATAACAATATTTTTGCCAACTCGTTTGGATGTTCAATAGTTAGAATGGCGAAAAGGATTATTTGACATATAAAGTAAATTTATCTTTTTTAATAAATTCATCCTAAGGTGAGGACAGAGGATCGCTTGATGAAGGATTGAAAAAGGAGAAGAATTTAGCACAAGTCAAAATACTAAACAAATTGGAAAAATATGCCTTAAAGAATTTGTGTGGTGAAGTTTTTGAAATAGCCTTGACATTTCTTAAATCACCAAAATCCAGAAAGCTTAGGAGAATGCCTTAAAAGATTTACAAATTAATCTACCATCCATTGCTCATAACCTAAATGAAAATCAATAATTTTTAAGGTTCATCATAGTTAAATGAGGTGAAGTTCTAAAACTTTCATTTTTAGAAATCCTCAAGTTTTTTAATCTTTCAATTGAAAAGAATGAAATGCTTAGAGAAATGACTCGAGATGCTCGTTGTTAGTAGTAATCACCAAATTTCTTGAGATTTTTTTCCACATGTATATTTAGGAACCCAAACAATCAAAACTCATTAGAAACCAATGACTTCATGTTTGAGAAATCAATATACAAAGAAAAATCAACCTATGATAAAGCATCTTTTCATTGTTCAAAAAACTCTTGGGTCAAGGTGCCATATGGATGAGACTTTTAATTTTCTCTTTCAACTACCTACATTTCTCAGTCAAGTGTTCAATTGCTCCCACATGAATCACATTTATTATTTCAATCATAATTTTTCACCGATGGATTCAAAATTGTTTTCAAAGCTACTGAGGTGAGGTATTGGTATTTTATCAATAAAGGCAAAAGATTAGAAATTGAAATTAAGATGTTCTCAAGAATGTTTCTTGATCTTCTTTGATTATTAAATGGTTGAGCAGCAGACTAGGATAATGACTTATGTGAGGAGCTAGTTGTTGGGTTGGCTAATGAAAATAAGGATTTTAAGAAAGATTACTTATAGTAAGGCAGTAACATTGGTACATCGAATAAAGATAACGTAAGGTAAAACCTATAACCTATTTCTCTTCATATATCACAACTTGAACATTTTCTCTTTCCATTCTCGGTACACCCACATCTTTGTTCTAGCTACATCATCCTCTTTAAGCTTTCCACTTTTTATTGTAGTTTTTATTATCTCTTTAGATGTGACCACATCAATAAAATTCTTTGTTGCATTTGCAATAATCATTTCATAATATAGAGCTTTAAGAGTGTTGACAAACAAGACTTTAATTTTTTTTTCTGTTAAAGGAGGTTGAACCTGGGTAGCAGCATCCCTCCGCCTTTGAGCGTATTCTCTAAATCTCTCAATTTTTTTTTCTTAATGCTTTGTATAGACAATTGATTTGGGACCAACTCTATAATGTATTTGTACTGGGTTACGAATGCTCTAACCAATTCCTTTCATGAAGTGATATGAGTTTTGTCCAACTAAACATACCATCTAGTAGTCGACCCTGTAAGACTATCTTAAAATATATGAATCAAGAGTTTGCCATCATCGGCATTGGCAACCATCTTTCTATAGTACATAATGACATAGGTCATTGGGCATTTAGTCCTATTATATTTCTCAAATTTTGAGACCTTGAACTTAGGTAGAACAATCACATCTAGCATTAAGCAAAGCTACGATGCATCCATAGATCTATAAAAATCTATTCCTTCGATAGCTCAAAGCATTTTCTCTATAATATCCATCTTTTTTTGATCATTTGAATTTTTTGGTACTTTAAATAAACTTTCCTTTATTTTTTTTGGCTTTTTAGGATCGTTACGGACATGGATTGGATTAGATTTATCTCCATTCAAAACAAGAATAGTGTATCCTTAAGGCTATCGTTGTGTGGTTAGTAAAGGTATTCTAGGATGAGAATATACCCCAACTAGTGGTGCT